TTCCTGTTCGAGACGCGCCACCCGTCCCTCGTGATGCCCCGATGATATGTGGAACGTACGTTTTATTTCATTACCATCATCAAATAATCTAGCAGCAGTTCCACGTATACAACACTTCCCGTCGTCAGCGATCCAGAACCACGCTGTTCTACCCCGATCCCGAGGTTTTCTCAACTTTCCATGTACTTTACCTTCTAGAACTAACTCTCCAAATTCCAATGCCAGCGTAATTTCCCTGGATCTGGCCAACAAGGGATATAAGAGTATCTGGTGTGCCAGGAGAGCGCCACGTCTCTGTGATGCAAAATTAAGTTCGGACGAGCTATGGTGGAGTTAGCTTGGACGTAGTGCAATTTAAGTATTAGAGAGCGGGTGTTGATTAGAACGACAGAAAAATTGCTAGCGGGATCGGTTAAGGTGGGTAATGTGGCTAGCAAGAATTTGACAAGCCCAGGGAGGTCAGTATGGAATGGAGGGGAGACAGGGAAAGCGGGGATTCTCGAATTAGTAGGCGAAGTAGGACCAGGTAAATATACGTGAGAATAAGATGATGGGGCGCATCGCGATGGGTACCGAGGCAGCGTTTGGGTGGCAGGGGAGGTAGCGAGCTCCATGGACAAACAGTAACAGGCTGGGTCGGGCAGTCGCTTGTAATAATGTAATCAACATTGTCAGGATGTGGTACCGTGTGTGGTAGCTAAACAGAAACAGCGGGACTTAAGTCACGCTGGATGAAAGGGCAGGAGAAGTGTTTAAGAGATAGGGAATGAGAGGGACAGACAGGGACACAGAGAGGTCGGATGGATCTGTTTTGTAGAGCCTTCAGCATCGGATCGTAGGGGGCGGAGGGAACGGGTAACCAAACTGGGCTGATTGGAGGAGATGGAATAAGAGGTCTATAGTAAGAGATGCAAGATGAGAGAGGAGACATGTTGCAGTGAGGAAGTTAGTGGTGTAATCAAACTCTCTGTGAGGGGTGAGCTCCGTTGGGAGTGAGAAGGAATCCTCTGTGTTGGCTGTAGTTGAAGGGGGTTTGGAGTAGGAAGTCGAGATACAGCTAAAGGTCGTAGAGGTGGGGCTGCACGTGGCTTCGGAGGGGGCGGAGGCTTTGGTGGAGTAGGTAGTTGCTGAAAAGGGATCCCAGGCATATAGTATGCAGGTTTTCAGAGGGGCGGAACCAGATAGGGTCTAGGATTACGCAGCGGCAGTTGTGGATTAGACACCCTGCCAGGGAACTGAGTTGCACGGCTAAAGGCGCTACGGATGTGCTTATGAGGAATTACGGGTTTACTCAGGTTTGTAGAAGGGCAAAGGGCAGGAGCTCGGGGAGTTGGTACAGGAGAAATGGTTACGATGCGAGGCCTGGACAGCAGGTGCTTGAGTCCAAGGAAGCGCTTTGGTGGGGAGACACGAAGTGTCATTAGGTCAGGAGGTCTAGAGTGAGAACTTTTGCTATAATTCTTCACCACAGCCTCACGTGTGGGCTGATTAGTTACCGTATCTCCTAAATCAGCAGTCGATCTCGTTGGCGTGGTGGAGGTTAGAGATAACATTTGTGGATGCCCAGAGATAGGATTGGAGGGCTCATGGTCATGAGCGTGGGTTACAGGACCTGGGTCCAACAAACAGCTTTGTGTGGCAATGTGGCACTCGTCAGCGTAAGTACTGGTGAGTGACGATGCAACAGGTTCCGGTGACTTACATTACTACTTGATGCCGGTATTCGGTGCGTTGACTAGTCTCATTAGCAATCGTGTCAATTAGAATAGGCGCCTTTTCTGAGTTTGTTTGATCGCATGTTGCGTCAGGATTCAGAAGGCATGCAGTCGATTGTATGGTTTGGAGGGACGACATTCCGTTCTCCATTTGGCGCACACGTGTTTTGAGATTTTACAGGTCATTAAGGTTTTCAGAACCTACTGGCAACGGTAAGAGAGTGTTGCCGGGTTGAAGAGGCAAGGATATGTCAGTTAGAACAACTGAACAATCTGTCGTTGCCTGGGATACTGTCTTTGCCAGCTTCGAGGAGTGAGGGGGTTGGGAGCTGGATCTTCCGGATCTAAACTGCTTCTTTGAATATGCCTGGAGGATAGCTGTTGGGGATTCGAGGTCTAGCGACCGCTTTGAGGAAGACGGGAGCGGTGTCATAATGAGAAACTTCGGAGCAGGTTGAGGAATGATTGATTTGGTGGAATACAGTTGAGAGTTCTAGGGTATAGGAGAACTGTGGATTGTATTAAGAGGGTCACAGTCGGTCTCAGATACCGTTGTGCGCCGGTAGTTCAGATAGGACTGTGGAATCGTGGAGCAGTGGCGGAACGGTGGACAGAACGACTATGTAGATGCGGGCTAAGCACGCTCTACAAACTGGGGCTAGCACTGATTAGGCCTACTGAAGGAACGAAAGCCTGTTTGGCACCGTGGAAAATAGCTATCCAGTACATAAAAAACTGGTTGAAGACCTATGGATGGGCTGAAATATAAACGAAAATCTGTAACACCTGACCTTGAAATTTTGGTTTTGCGCCGTAATGGAAGTTTTGAGATAAATTGGGGGTTCTTTTCCAGAAGACGCCAAATCCTTCCAGGTAACCTGCGGCTCATCCGACTGCGTGCTGTTTTTTTTGAGACCAACACTGAGTCAGCCTCGTGAACATTCCGGAAAACAGTCTTGTGAAAGCCTTCCACTGGAGCTGTTCTTAGTTCAACTTGTTCAAGAAAGATGCGCCTTTTTGATAGGTCTGCATGGCAGAAGTTTGAATCCACGTTTGGGGCTCGGGATTTTTGGTCCAACAGCAGGTGAAGTCAAAGTTCTGCAGTGTTCGCCATATCCCAGTAAAGCGTTAATTATCACCTGATCTACGAAGTGTCTCGTTGGTGGTGACCAAATTCACGGGGGATGGTTTTTGGTCTGCGTGTTATCCAGTGGGTGCAATGACGTGTTGAGTCCAAGCGCTCTGTAAAACTATTTCGGTCAGCTCCGCTGCAAACATTTCACTTGATCGGACGCACTGGACCTCCATCAAAGAAGCCTTTGGATCTCTGAACTCACCTAGCGGCAAGGGGCGTGAAGTTGTAGCTGATGGAGAGTTACTCACGGGTTCTTCGGACGTGCTCGGTTGACAACTGTATACTACACCGAGAAAGGTAAATCGGACCAGCGCAGGAAGGTTTGGATCCACAGTACACCTGCCCAACGGGGTGGGCAGGGCCGCATGTAGATATAAAGCGACTCCGTTGGTCTTCCCTCGTTTCGGGTCTGCTCGGAAGTTGGAGTGGCTGCCCATCGAGATATACACCTCAGAGACATGTGGTGTGAGCCATGCTGGTCTGAGTGTGATTATGGACGGCTGTTCAAGACAAACCAACCGTTCAATTTAGCAAAAAAATTTTTGAAGGGCTCAGGCGATTCGGGTACAAGCATTTCGACACAGTCTTTCCTATCTTCGTAGATGAGGAGTTGCGAGTTGTGCAACTAGACGGGTTAGTCGATTTAATTGCTGTACACCAGGTTTGTGTCCCAGATTCTGAAAGACGCTCGGCGGCGCAATTGTATGCTTGCTGCCTTGGTGGTGCCGACAGCATCTTTTATCTGCAAGGATTTTCCCGCTCCATGGGGGCCCGTAAGTGTGGGCCATTAGGGAACGTGCTTTTTCCGCTTGTGGGTGGAAATTCCGACCGCTGCTACTTTTAGCTCGTTTAATACCGCCTTTCTGACCACTAGCTTCCTTTCATGTTTGCATGAACTACTAAGTCGCTCGCGGTCGTTGCGGTCACCTGGGTTTACGAGGGATTTACCAGTCCGCTATGGTGAGGTTTGTGACTTTTTCTGTCGGGATCCCGGGCTACGACTATGTCCACAGTCAAAGCGGCCGATGTTGACAGAGTGAAGCTGAATAACTACAGTTTCACACCTACCGTGGTTGTATGGTTGTCGAGATATTCCCAGATGTCGAGGTCAACGCACGTGGTTGATTTGTCCGTGGGCTTCGTTGCTTGTCTCTGCGCGTCTGCCTCAGTCCAGCCGGGACGTTGTGAGTAGGGTGTGGAGTTGTGCATTTATCGTCTGGTACGAGAATGAGCGATGGTAGATCTGCGTAGTTTGGACGCTGTGGCCGCGCAAGACTTGCCCCCACCAACGTTTCACTGCCTTTGGTGACTGTGGTTAAGCAGAAGCCAGAATGTGGGGCCGCGGACGGTTGAGCCGGGTGCTTTCAAGAGTTAGAGAGGGCATACTTATCACCGATTCGGCCATGAGTTTTGAGTGAGCTGAACTTGGGCCAAGCGGAATTCTTTTTCGCACCCCTCCCCCAGGACTTCTGTGACCCGACCTTGGCGTACCTAGCGAGTGGACCTTGGATATACGCCTGAATTTTGAGTAAGCTAACATTCCGCTTCAGTATTCTCTGTACGGCAGGTGCGGATAAAAGAAGGACTAGAAGCCCAAAAGTTTGCTTGCGTCTTTTTCCCCGTAACCGCTCTGCCTGGAACAATCCGTGTTTAGGCTTTCTGAAGACACAACCGAAGAGCGACTGAGCCAGCTTTGTAGGCGCGATTTCTCCGGAGAACAACTACCAAGTGATCAGCCCGCTTGTCTTCATTCGTCCGTCCACAATAAACTCCGTGGCGGTCTTGTTTGCCGAATCGGAGAGCTGAATGAAATTCGTAGCTGGCGGATCCCGGATGGGTAGCGCTAGGTACTGGCTGCTCGGTTCTTTTTGTTTACTGCCTCGAGGGCTTTGAAAAGAGGCGGGTATACGGTTAAAGCAGGACGTTTGCACTGGTCCTCCAGACTCAGCAATGGGGACTTTGTTCTGTTTTTGGCGGCTCTCTCCTTAGTTACAGAATGCATAGCGTTCTTAAGGTAGAGGCAGCTGGCGCAGGGGGTCAGGAGAATCAGATACTGGTTTATCTGGTCGCTCCTTGCACCCGTGCATTTAACGTGGCACCAGAACTTGCGGGTAAGGCACTACATTTGATGGACGCCCAATTTACCATTTCTGTTGTCCATCGATGGAAGTGAGGAGCAGCCTGTTTTTATCTGGCTCATGATCGAGACTAAGGGCACAGCAGGAACCGGATGCAAAATGACAGAGTTCATCGCACAAAGGTTAGTTCTGTTGTCCATGGAAGTCAGGAGCAGCCTGTTTTTATCTGGCTCATGATCGAGACTGAGGGCACAGCAGGAACCGGATGCAAAATGACAGAGTTCATCGCACAAAGGTTAGGCAAGTGTGCTATTCTAACAAAATGACACGCGTGAACGCTGTAAATAGATTGAATAGCCAGAGAATTTTTTTCACAATTTTACACAACGGAAAAACCATGTCGTTTTAGGGCGTACTGCGCTGCCCCTAAAAGGTAAGGCGGTTTTCGGATTGAATGTACGCAATTTCTAAGACTCAGACTTGCAGAAATTCGGGTATTAAATAATCAGTTTTTTGGCTGCACTAGGACGATTAAATGGTTTCGACGTGTGGGCGATTTTCCAACCTTCGTAGTAATGTATGCTTGCGGATTTCAGTTGGAAGCCAGATGTTATTCAGTGGCAATCATAGCGGCAGCTTGTGTATCTCCACAGGTTTACATACCGTCATAGAATTCAAGGATAAGCCACCTTCCGTCCGGAAAATGTAGTGTACTATACCGTGCGAAAAATGGTGACTGCTTTAGTGTAGTTGTTTGAGATACCAGCGCAGTTGGCGTGAAGACCAGTAAGCATTTTTCTGGCAGTTTGCGTGGAAGCTCAGCGTGGCATAATTACTTTATTGCGATTGTGATCAATCATTCGCCAGATGACCTGATACTCTTTGCTTTGGAGAGTAACTTTTAGGTGATGGAAGCATTGTGTTGAGCGAGGAATTCAATGGTGAGCATAAGGCGCGACTAGGAAATCTTGTAATGTTCGGCTTCGGGACATTCGTGATGATGGAGCCGGGCTGCTCAACTGGATGAGTCAAGCGAGTGGTGATGAAAATGAATTTAACATTAAATCATATTTGATATGCTTGTGCTGTGCGAATCATGCTAGCACCAAGAGACCGCTATTTTCGACGGTTTACGAGAACAAGAACAAATAAATATTGTGTCACGGAACCCACTAAATAAAGATTAGGTCATTAAATCAACCTAAGTAGCAGGCTCTGAGTACTACGTGCTCCTTGGTGTTTGTCAGCCGGATGACTGACGGTTATCCGGATGTGAACTTTTGCCGATTTTATAACTGGACCAATTTTTTGGAAAGCTTAACTTTTTTATTTCCGACCGCAAATTTTTTCTTTCTTCCCATTGAATCTAACTTGACATAATGATAATCCCCCAGTTCATTCGCTTGTTCCGTTCATGCACCTTTGATCTGCACCTATTTTGCTCACCTGTACCCATTATGCAAGCTGCCGCAATGGCCCTTCCTTCCGAAACAGGTATATTACCGTATGTATGTGTGAATGTGCACAGCTGACCTACTTATCCATGAGCGTTTTTGTGCCCTTTGTTGAGTCTGCCTTCACTCATTTCTTCGTTAATTCGTGCCATCGCACCGCTGATCAGAATAGAGAAACCGCTGTCGGAAGTGATGACCGCAGCATGCACTACAGAGTCAACATCTCGCTTGCCATTGTTAAGTGTGCGGACCTTGTCACTGCACTGCGCAGTTCCTCAAGAGACTTGTGCATTTTTGACTCCACGAACGTGAACAGTTGAGGACTATTGTGTAACATTGGCTACCTTTGTGTCAGTAGTATCGTTAACTTTCCAGCCTGGTTCTTTCTTTTGATGTTTAGGATGGGTAAACCCAATCGTGGCTCAAAGTTCCATATCGGAAACCGCATCACTTCTCAGACATTCGGTGAAAAGTTGTACACCATCTATTAAGATAATTTGTTTTCGTTAGCGGCTCTCACGTAAATTTCAGATGCTTTTATATCAATTTCCCACTTTTGGTGTCACTACGCTCGTCAGACAAAGTTCGTTCAACTGAGACAGCCTACTATCCCTTACATGATGTATTTTTGGTCTGCGCTAACATATGAAAAAATGAATGTCTATTGTTTTTCCCCAGTTAGGAAGAATACTCAAAACTTCTGCGGTCTACGGTGAGTTTCCAGTCTTTGCTTTTCAGACATAACGGACTGTGAGAGAACGTGCCACACAACTAACCGCAACCTTCTCCGGTGCCAGGTTATAAATATGGTCATATGCCTTCCCCCGGCTGTAGTCAACAAGGTGGCACATGGAAGGCGTGGACGGAGAGCAGGATGAAGGTGCCTGTTAATCTTTTCCTTGCTCCTCGTTTAGCCTAAAAAATTCTCAGTCTGTTGTAGAGGTAGATAATCGCGGTTCTTGTTTTGGGTTGCTGAACTAAATTAACCATTTATTGCGCCTGTAGTGACAACTTGGTTAGAGTACCAATAAACCGCTAGAAACCGTAGTTGTGTAGGCAAAATTCAGGTCTCCCATGCCAAATTACAGTTTAACATCACGCCCAACTTCGCCAAATGCGTCAGTGACGAAAATTTGGGGGTGCTTTTATTACTGAGCAAACATGCGGATAAAAATAATTTTACACCCGGTTTGTGGCAAGTAAACTATATTATAACGCATATTTTCGAGAAAAGAACGCGACAAAGGCTGATAATGCCGAACTATTTTAAAACTACTTTTAGCCAGGAGCAGCTAGCCTCTCAACATTTTCGAGCGATAACTGGCCCAGCTGCAAAACGCTGGTGTTATTGCACAAGGTACGAAAAACTTGATTCACCCATTCAGATGCCGAAATGCTTTTAGTAGCTGATAATTGCTTCGTTTAGCTCCTCGACATTAAAAAGATTATCCCCAAGTTCGTACATGAAATCTTGTAAACTTCTCTCTGGTACAGGATTCCCAAGTGGGTTTTTGACACGTTTCACCCGGTGCTTTCGAAAATAACTATTTACACAGTCGATCTTGAAGCAACTTGAGTTCAGCGAGTCAGCCTTGCTTCGCAAATCCTGACGCATAGATCGCTTGCAATTCGCGATGAAAGGAGCAAGCACCAAACGTTTATCGCAAACTAGCACTTGAAAAAACAACCCCCCCCCGATTCCATTCAAGCAACAATAAACCGACTGGACAAGTGGGGATAGATGTCGCAATAAAAATATGAACTTTATTCTTTTGAAAAAAATTGTTTGGAGTGCTGCGGAGGCAGAAATGCCACCAGCGTACATCACTAGAGAGCCCAACTGCCTAACCAAAGGCTTCCAAGTCTACGCGTACACAAAAATATTTGAAGCGCGCCCTACATAAATCAGAAATGCAATGCAGGTAAGGTAAGACACGAATATCTTTGCGGTTTACGACGATGCTGTCTGCAAAATGTCCCTTGTGGGCTCGTGAAATGAACAGAAATGTGAGTTTAACAGCTGACATACATGGGATTTTTGAGCTATCCGACATCTCTTTTGGCTGTTTGTCTACTTTAAGTTCCTTTAATTGAGCAGATCCAAACAGTTTAAAAATAATATAGATAAATCGTTCAGCTGTAACACCCTAGCGGTGTCTAGCTGCAATGCTACCAGAAGGAAGCACGAGGGCTGGGATACTGCCAGGTTGCCAAGCCTAGAAAGGGGAACTCAAGAGGTAAAGGTGGGGTTCGAACCGCGGACCTTCCGGCCAGTAAATCCGCGCTCTAACCACTCGAGCCATCTCGCCCCCGTCCAAACAGCCTAATCACTTGTGAACTGGAAAAAGAAGACCAGTTATACTTGCTAAATGTATTATTGCCTCGAACGCGCGAAAGTCGTCGTCGAATCAGTGCCGTATGTTCGCTTGACTGAGCAGTACTCCGTACTAAGTGATACTCGGATAACACTGAAAGGATATGCTTGGTTATCGGAAGGATTGCCGCAGTTGTAAATTCGTTGCAAAATAGAGATTTGGTCTTTGCAACTCTTTTCGAAAATAACTATTTACACAGTCGATCTTGAAGCAACTTGAGTTCAGCGAGTCAGCCTTGCTTCGCAAATCCTGACGCATAGATCGCTTGCAATTCGCGATGAAAGGAGCAAGCACCAAACGTTTATCGCAAACTAGCACTTGAAAAAACAACCCCCCCGATTCCATTCAAGCAACAATAAACCGACTGGACAAGTGGGGATAGATGTCGCAATAAAAATATGAACTTTATTCTTTTGAAAAAAATTGTTTGGAGTGCTGCGGAGGCAGAAATGCCACCAGCGTACATCACTAGAGAGCCCAACTGCCTAACCAAAGGCTTCCAAGTCTACGCATACACAAAAATATTTGAAGCGCGCCCTACATAAATCAGAAATGCAATGCAGGTAAGGTAAGACACGAATATCTTTGCGGTTTACGACGATGCTGTCTGCAAAATGTCCCTTGTGGGCTCGTGAAATGAACAGAAATGTGAGTTTAACAGCTGACATACATGGGATTTTTGAGCTATCCGACATCTCTTTTGGCTGTTTGTCTACTTTAAGTTCCTTTAATTGAGCAGATCCAAACAGTTTAAAAATAATATAGATAAATCGTTCAGCTGTAACACCCTAGCGGTGTCTAGCTGCAATGCTACCAGAAGGAAGCACGAGGGCTGGGATACTGCCAGGTTGCCAAGCCTAGAAAGGGGAACTCAAGAGGTAAAGGTGGGGTTCGAACCGCGGACCTTCCGGCCAGTAAATCCGCGCTCTAACCACTCGAGCCATCTCGCCCCCGTCCAAACAGCCTAATCACTTGTGAACTGGAAAAAGAAGACCAGTTATACTTGCTAAATGTATTATTGCCTCGAACGCGCGAAAGTCGTCGTCGAATCAGTGCCGTATGTTCGCTTGACTGAGCAGTACTCCGTACTAAGTGATACTCGGATAACACTGAAAGGATATGCTTGGTTATCGGAAGGATTGCCGCAGTTGTAAATTCGTTGCAAAATAGAGATTTGGTCTTTGCAACTCTGCACGGGGCGAAGCCCATCTTGATTCCTGCGATTCTGAGTCCTCGACAATGGATCAGCGTTCTTACCAGGGAACACTTGGGAAGACACAACCATCTAGTCGATGTCAAGCTCGTTTTTGCAAGATGATCTTGGACCATTTTTGAGTAAGGGAATCACCCTTCAGGTGTACTTCTGTGTTGAGATTGTTTCCACTTTCCAGCTATTTGGGAAGAATCGCGGAAACCTTGTCTTAAAATAATCACGTGGACGTGGATGATTGTGTCGTAGTTTCGCAAATGGCAGCAAGGAAATCAAAGAACCACCGGGATGTCGCCACTTTTTTTAACCCTTTTTCCTTTCCCAGCCTTGAACCTTTCTACAGGCCAAGCCGCCAAATCTAAAAAAGGAACTTATCCAAAATGGTCTGTTAGGTTGAATCTGTAAGAATGGTGTGCACAGACAGGCTTAATTAGCCGGATGGTGCTTAACTTCCACTCCTTAGAAAGATGTCCCAAATACCTAATGGGAATATAGTACGTTCCACTCTAACTAGTATCCTTGTGCCGAATTCTACCCCACTACAGGGATTTGAATGCCAACAGCATTCACAATGAACCTTTTTATATCTACCTATACTACGACCTGAAGCTGAATGAGCGGGATTAGTTTCTTTGAGGTATCAATAATGTTACAAAGGGACAAAGGGCCTGAGACCGGTAAATTTACTGAGGATCCAGCAGGAGAGGTTCACGGTAGACGATGAGTCGTTTGCTTGCCGTGATACTGTGCCACCAAATATGTCTGCTTTTCGGAAGTCGTAATGGAGAAATATATCTTTGTACGAAATGATTACAGGTATTTTTGGACATCATTATCAATTCTGTGGATCTAGCACAATAGTGGATGTTCATCGGAGGTGCCTCAGGAAAAAGCCAACCCCATTGGCAGAACTGATTCACTCCTCAGCGGATGACACTCACTCGAAATTGGCAAACAATCAAGGTAATCCATATCGACCCATCAATTCTGATTGGGTATCAACGAGACTGCGTTCAGGAGGCGGCCTTTTCAAGCCAAAGGTAGTGTAGCCAGGGGCGTCCGAAAGTCAACGGTATTCGACGTTCGAGAAGATGTAGCGACGGCACACGTCAGTTCTGAAATGTGCAGATATAGAGGTTGGTATTACGGAATCCACACGACACACACAGCACACATTCGCACAGATCGGATGACACAGAAAAGAACAGCGGAGCGCGGCAACGACACATGTGTATTAAACCGAAATTGAAGCCGGAAGATGGGGGTACAAAGTCGGGTCAAGGTCAACCAGGGGGGATGTACAAGAGGGTTACTCTTTCCTGCCCGTGGCTCGTGGTGGCTCGTCCGTGATACCTGCAATAGGGAGAGAGAGAGGCATACATAAGGCCATATGATAGACGTGCAAGCCGATACAGTCGAGTTTCAAATGCGTTACTTTTTGAAAGAGGAGTTTTCCCTGGGATGACTTTAATGTTTGGTGGCAGGAAGTTTTCTGATTTTATTTGCCTCTAAAATAGAGTTGAGTCCCTTGAAGTCATCCTTATTAATTCGTTAAAAATATGACTAAAATTGGAACCAGATGAACAAGCTGCAAGAAGACTGCAAAGAATTCATCATAAGAGCAAAAGGAAGATTTTTGAAAATCGATCACCCGCTCTCTTTGTTGAATTCATCTGTCTCCGTCTGACAGAACCCCCGGTTCTTAAACAAGGTGCTTTGAGGCTAATTTGATGTCATCCACCCAGTGATTCCGCTTCTGAGAAATCCGACAAATAAGGAAGTCTCATGTTACCTTTTCTGTAGGTCGTTCTTTTCGCGTTCAATCTTCATTCTTACAAGTGACCTCATTATTTTTGACTCCGTTGTTTTGTAGAACATGAAAACAAACTTGTTCTAACTTGAGACTTTGACTTCGGAAGTTTGGCGTCACTGGAGGACACATTTAAAAAACTGTTGGTGTTTGAAGTTAAAATCAGGTTCTGAAATGAGAAAGTATGGAAGAAATGGTTCAATATTTCCCTGGAACAGTCCACGGACGGTTAAAAAATAAAGCCGTAAATGTAATCGATCCTTTCAACGGATCATCAACAATCGATTACAGACATTCGGAGGATAGCGTCGTATGTCCTACGGACCTTTCTGGAGTATATTTTGACAGACGTTGTGTGACCTAGGGTTTTGTTAGGCTTGCTTTCTGAGGTGCTTTTTAGGTGAAGCCTGCACACGTATGCCATCGAGATTAGTTGGTAACATCTAACACAGCAAAGGTAGATAAAATGTTCTCAAGAACTTTGCACCCATTAAAAGTAGTTATGGTTCACGTGAACGGTACGTATAACGTTCCCGTCACCTTGTTTTTTCATTGGTTGACCGTATGAAATAATGAATAAAAACTGTCATAGTTTCTAGGGAAAACATACTATTCAAAAGTTTGCTAAAAAAATTCGACGGTTGCACCATCGACTACAACTAAAAATGTCCGCTTGAAAACGTTCAGAAGCAAATTCGGTTAGTGAAAGTTCAATACGGTTGAATATATCACGGCCGACGGTATGTCGATCGATTTACAGTACGGCAGTCAAAGGAACAAGGTGCTTAACACTAAGAAAATTAGACGCAATTGATCTGACCGACAGTGAGTCAATGAATGCAAGATCTATCGGCAGGCTTACTAGCAGAATTAACTGAAGCTTTCAGATACCCAGTAAATTTGGGTTGGAGTTTGCACTAGAAAGGTGGAAAAAACGGCTTTCAATGAACTACTTAGAATGAAAGCTGAGTGACTCCAAAATCCGAATAATGTCAACAACATACTGTAGGATACACCGATGTATTCGGAAAAGCCCACTTGTGTGACGCGCGAAATCACAAGCCAGAAATTGTGGATTCTGGAGATTCATCAATGAAATGCAGTATCACGTGTGCAAAATACGTGAAAAAAGGGGCGAAAACCTCAAATTATGGGGTTTTTCGTCTAAATTTTGCACAAATTAGTAAAATTCCAAAGTAAACCCGGAGAGACGACAGGCCGACTTGTGTTAGCGACACACGTCTGCGCACAACACGCGCAAACACAAAATGATAAAAAAGGCGCGTGAAAGATACTCGACCAAATTGGTTCGGCATGTCAAGGGTTAAATGTTCATGAGGGATTACAAAGGCTTTTGCAGTCTATGAGGTAGACGTAGCCAACAGCAGGCTCAGATAAGGGGAGGGTTTGACCGGGGGAAAGGAATTACACATACGAAAAAAGTAAGAAGCAAGAGAAAACCTATCAGGTTAGCTACAGCGGAGAGATGTGCAGACTGAACGGAGAACAGAGGTGTTCGAAATTGGGCAGTACGAACTAAAATTGGTGTCGACGAAGTACACTACTCAATATATATTAGGAACGACGTAGGAAGATTTCACGCGTTTCAGTCGGTCACTGCTCGTACCCTCCGGAACGTTGTAAAAAGGTAGAAAATTTATGAGCTACGTAAATTGGTTTAAGTGCTCAGTGAGAGCTAAGACACTTCGTTGATTGGTAGAGATGAGGATTGTTTGGCGGCGTCTTTGCGCAGTTTCGTATTTTACCCCACAATTTGTAAGTAGATTGAACATCAAGCAATCACTGAAAGCTGAACAGTAATCCTTAGAGCATTCCTGCTAAAGTCACCATCAAAAGAGACGGTGTTGCATCTATGATCAGTCATCATATTTTCGAAATACTGGCACAATGTAATCTGCCTATACAGAATCTACCAAAAGATTTCTGCAGATTCGTATTTGATACACTACTACTTACTACCACCATTGCTTAATAATGATGTACTCCACTCCCTTTGGCTCGGACGAAAATGAATATGTTATCGCCTACACAGTTGCATTCAATCGATTTGTAGTTCACGTGAATCGCCCCAGTCAGCTGTCACGTAGAATTAATATTCACAAGGGGAGCGTAATTGGTTGGCGAGAGGGCAAACTCATGGAACCTGATCTGTAAAAACCATTTAAAATGCACTCCTTGTTCTGTATTTCAAAACTAAACGTTTTTATTGCAAAAGGGCATAAATATATCGCAGGTGACTAGGTAAATAACGAGGTATAATCAGGTAATAAAAATTCGCAATCAGTTCCGACGTCAGCGCCTGACACCGTATTTTCGACGCACACTAAAATAAGCGGTTTGGTCTGTGTGACGAGATGAAATGAAAATTTGTTTCTTGGTAATCTTATTCTTACCCCAACTGTGACCCGATAAAAAATGAGTAAATCTGATAGTCACGATCGAACAGTGAGCGCACGATACGCCTAAGGATCAGGAGGACACGAGGGATTCAAATTGAGGTGATGTTCAAACAAAAAAACGCAACCAAAATATGGTGTAAATGGGAGGTTTTAGTGGTGATGTGGAGACTCAGTTAGAGAAACTTAGAAAATTGTTCATTTGTGAGCGGTTGCAGGATTTGTATAATTAGTAGTCACATTATTCGTCACATCCCAACAGCTATCGATTTCTTTTCACCCAAACGTAAATGCATTTGACTCGTCAGACTTTCAGGCGATAAAGAGGTAGTGGTAACATGTTTGCCACACATTCCAGATGCCAGAAATTTAGGTGCGGGTATGGTTAACAATAAGCACCATCCATGAGCCCCGGTGGGATTGAAGATCGAGTTCAGTATTCTCAGTTTCATTAGTAAAAAAGGATAATCATTCAAAGAAATCGATGTGAATGTAAAATTGTTCTCTATGGGGTGGGTTGGTCGCGTGAGTTAAATAGATATAACAGAATAAAAGACAAAAGAGAGTGAACCTAGAATATTTAGCCATAAATCACACAGATAGACACGTATATGAATGTTCTGAGCAACAGTAAGGTGCGAAATTGGTGTTGGGGAAAACTCGATAATCTATTTGGTAAGCACTGGCTGCAAACTCTTTAAGTTTGTTTTCATGATCGCGTCCTATCTTGTTGGTGAATTACTATCAAAACGTCGTAATTTCGAAGTTGCTGAAGGAGTTTCATTTAAGCATATTTCGATCTCACGAAACATTCCAACCGATTATCCCGATTCCTTGAAGCCGTTTGAACTCTTGAAATTTACAAACCCTAAACGATTTTACTCGGTTTCTGCAAGCCCAACAATGGTCAAACATGATTCATCAAATGATCGAGTTTTCTCAAAATCTAGCAGTTTAAGTTGGATAAAATTTTAAAGTCAAAGTAAACCAGTATATACGGGATTCGAGAATTATCCGGTAGACAACGACTGATTGGTGTTGTCTCCGGTGCTGTGTTCCCACAGGCTCAAACGAAATTTAGATCGATTCTGTAACAACAATCATCAACAATGTCATTGCTGTGATTCATGATGGAGACATACAGTCTACACAAGAGGTGCTTGACCAGCAAGGAAGCTCACTAAGATGTGGTCATTCAAGTGTTATCTGCAAAATGTAATGGCATATATTTCGTTCACGTGTTCGGGCCATAAAGCAGATCGAGGACTGGGAAAGGTCAAAGTTTGAATGCTTAAAAAGAGTAAAAATACCAGGTAGAATCAAACTGGGTGTTTAGAACGACAGTCAGTTGGATAGAAAACTTAGTTAGAAACGTCACCTAGTTCTTACACTCGAGTACATATGAAGCACGTGTAACCAGAAAGGCATTACAATGCACAGTCATTTGTTTGCTGCCGGTGTTTCCTGGATGGCCCGATACACTGGGTGAAGAAGTGAGGGCTAACCATTTCTGTGAGTGAGTTATGTGCCTGCAGGCTGATTGATGCCTTTCACGACCTGATCAAAAGCTCACTGCCTCGGGAGTTCGGTCGACAACTTCATTGTTTAGCTTTCTTGGGTGGTTGCAAAAAGCTGGTCGCGTCTGTGAATTTCCTTTCTCTTCACTTCCCTGGTAATTGTTACCCATGGCCTGCTTGTTCTTCATTCTTAACCAGTCATCTGATAGCTGACTGTCCCTGCCTAATTCTAACTCCTTTTGTGTCGTCGTATCCCCCACACTGTCCCAAATTCTTGTGACAGGCACTCAGGGAACCCGTGTAATAGCGGAATCAAAAACTGAATTTCTATCGTTTCTATGCTTTTCATTTCAATCCTTTCCACTGAACATACCACCTCCCAAATGGCTGACAAAATTACTCAAAAGACGAATTAACAGAGTAGAGAGTAAACTTGCTGGGACTGTCCGTTCACTTATCTGTTCACAAAAAAAGAGTGAAAAACAAAAGCATATGATGAAGACTGTGCTAGGCGAACTCGTTCTTGATTAAATGGGTACAGTTGCTTCAAGTTCACCGGGGAAGCACGCGAAAAAGAGGCATTAGCGTAGTGCTACTAGGAAAGTTAATTCATTTGTTGTCTAGACGTTATACAATGCTCATACGTATGCTGGATACTAATTAGCCCTAAGAAGGGCGAAACCGGTTGTGGGCTGTCGAAGAGTTTTCAGCAACCTTTATCCTGGAAACTGCTAGACAGTTTTGGCCTGCTTGGGGTCCATCAGGGTGGCGCGGTCCCCTAGTTTTTGTTAAGATCGTGTTCCAACTGAACCCAGATTGGACAGCTTTTATCGCATACTCTCTTTGGTTTTGATGGGAGACCCAGCTGATTCTCTCGTCTATGGTGGTTCACCTCAAGTGAATGGGCTTCAACACACAGATTGGTGCTTCAATAAGTACTGTATTCAAGATATCTAAATGAGTTTTCGTCTAAACATAACACAGTACTTACCAGTTGAAGAGACTTCGTTGAAGAGACTTCAATGGTCCACGAGTTATTTCACCTTTCTTGAACTTCATCAGGTAGGCTTAACCCCCAAGTTCCATCGATTTCATGTTCTGCTTGAACAAAAATTGAACATGTTTTGTTTGTTTGTTGTGCAGAAACACGAGAACCGAAGGAAATTTTACACAAAAGGCAACCACAGACTTTTTAGGGAGTCATTTAAATTTTGTTTTGCCTGACTCACGGACTTTTTACATTTCTGTAATTTATGATAACGGCAGAGTCTGTATGGTAGCACGTGACTTATGAAGACGATTCCCCCAAAACACAACTCTAATAGCAATATTCCCTTACGTGTTTTTCATTTATTTGGTAAAGAATGATCACCTATGTGACATTTTAGTTCACATGCTCTAAATTTATAAGCATTATTCGGCTGGGCTGTATCTTTACGGACAAAACATTTGCCTAGTAACTCGGAATCTGTATTATTTTCTTATCAATTCTTCCAGCCAACGCGGTCGAAAACTTTGAGTACTGCATATTGCATACGGGGAAGGCCAGGTTATTTCAAGAATTTAATCTACCTAATGTACAAATACCCGACCACTTCATTCGTATGTGTAGTCATAGTCTCCGAATCGCGGTAATATCGAGTACCTCGCGCAAACCTTTTGGCAAGTCATGGACAGGGCTACTTGAATTATCAGTAAACGGGATATGATGCACCCTGTTTCAGTGCACAAAAAATAGTTGATTAATATTCAGGTAGACACAACACTAGAGGCTGCATAACATTCCTTTAAATTTATCACCATACCCACAAATTACTCTGAGTAATACAACTGAGTTTGAGCAAGTGTCTTCGAACAGCGGCGTTATAGTGGGACCGAAATGAAGACATGCTCTTGGTCCGATCGGCCGCTAAGAATTAGATGATGATGATGATGACGTGTCACTGATGGACTAAAACAAACAGGTAAATGAGTTCAGAATTCCAGCCCAAAATTTGAGCCCCATCTAGGCATTCTGGGGTCTCAGTGATGCTAGTAAAGTATTCCACCAAGATTTTTCCGGCAAAGGTATCGTTGCTTCAGTGGACACTGAAATATGATGAGTTGCAAAAAATGAATGTAGATTTGAATAACTTTTGGCTCACGCAAATGTGCAACAAAACACAACATTTTAAAGTAAACATTTTTAATCCACTCACGAAGGTTTAGCAGCTAAGAGCATTGTGCGACCAAAGGATTAAGTGAATGTGGGCAACTATGTTAATTCAGAACGGAACACCAAGATTTTTCCGGCAAAGGTATCGTTGCTTCAGTGGACACTGAAATATGATGAGTTGCAAAAAATGAATGTAGATTTGAATAACTTTTGGCTCACGCAAATGTGCAACAAAACACAACATTTTAAAGTAAACATTTTTAATCCACTCACGAAGGTTTAGCAGCTAAGAGCATTGTGCGACCAAAGGATTAAGTGAATGTGGGCAACTATGTTAATTCAGAACGGAATTCCAGGCACATCGGTTTTTGTGAGAGAAATGCGGTGTTCCGCGATCTTGAGGTAGCCGAAATCTGTTTTTGTGAGTAGGAATAGAGCGGAGAGTTGGGCGAATGCTTTGTTAGAGTGGCAGCAAAACGGAGGTTAATACTGTGGATAACAGTATATTTGATGTAAACCGACACGTGAGTGAATATATTCTATGATATTTTCTCACCATACCAAGATTATTCGCCCTCGTACGAAGGATACCAGCCGGACCACGTTTCACTTATTAGTATGATTTCAGTTACCACGCTACCGAAGGTGAGGTGGAAGAATGAGGGTAACTCGTCCAACTATAATCCGCGTCCTTATTTCTTCCGCTCACTAGAAAATTTCTTGCCTACCTCTACTGAGAAACTCATTTTAATCGATGAAAGACAGTTGCGAAAAATCGCATTTGAAAACTTCAGTCAGGAAATTTCCAGTGCACAGAGAGCCGTTTGGTAAGGACACTTTTCTAAATTACTCGGAATTTTGTTGAAATAACTTCTAGCAACTCAACCTTAGGCGTTTCTCCAATAAGGCTTTTCATATTTTAAATTCAGAATTAGCTGTCCCTCTGATACGCTAGGTTCGGTTTCATCAAGTTGAGAGAGTATTAGAAAGGCCGCCTTTTCTCGGAAAAGAATTAGCCGGTCAGCCAGGCAGAGTTTAAAGATGAATTGAGATGTCCGTTCCAGTTTCGGATTGATGCCAGAAGACGTAGGATACTCCGGGAAGACTCACTTTGCGCAGTCCAAAAGAAACGCCTTGAAGCAGCTCAAGAAGTAGCTGTTGATACCACTGATGAGGCACTCTCTAGAGCAAGAGTCAGTCAATGATCCTAGAAAGTCATTACAGTCACTTATCACTTACGTATATTATGTTCGTAGCAAATTAGCCAGCAATCTGCTCGCCAAACTCCTTTGTTCATAGATCACATCACCTCGTCGACAAGTATTCTCAAATAAAGCATTCTAAGTAGTTTCACGCGGTGTAAAACTTGGGTTCGAATTTGTTCTCAAACCTTCTGGTTGAACGCTTTCTATCAATTGTTATTCTTACATACCTGACGGAAAAGCCTGAGGCTAACTGTGTTCAAACATTTTCAGGCGTGTGCAGGGAGGAATAAGCATAAGTTATAAAGAGTCACTGGGTACAAAGCTCCTCTTATCACCATCTATATCAGGATGGCCCAACTTTTTTAAAGTCACAAACGGCCGAGTTCAAGTATGCACAGACAGTGATATCCCAAATGGTCTCAAGTATAGGATACCTCACTAGGTAACCGCCAGTATGGTGCCCACCAAAGTTCCCATGGTAACTAACAGCACGACGCTTAAATTTTCCGGCTAATTTGGGATTTCCAGGTCCACTAACCTGTTGCATTCAAGCAAAGCCTTCAAGTGAAGTAACAGGTAAGTATTCAACACCAAACAGATGGTTATTAAAATGACACTAGATATTTGACATCCAAGTACCGAATCTCTTGCCAAGACAACAGAATAGAGCAGATGTTTGTCAACCTCCAAACTAAATACCAGCAACCCCGCAACACTGATATGACAAGATAAGATGGTTTACGAGTTTGTCTCAGGCTCCAATAAAACCCAAGAAAAGTCATATCAAGCTAAGCTCCAGGCTTCAACGCGACGGTTTTTTTTCCGGACAGCCAGAAGACTGAACATTTATGACTTTCCTCTCCAGAACATCGGTTACGTCTCAGTGAGAGTAGAACCATTCTCAGAGTACCCTTACAGCTCTTGTTTCGCATGGGACAACAGTTAGGCAAACTGGTCTGTAGCACGCAGAATCTTGACTGTCTTCACTCTGAGCAACAAAGCTCTGACTCTATTTTCAGGGGTTCGTCCGGTATCCACGAATAGAAAAAGACCGAGCAATCTGTAAGTTTCACAGGTCCACCTACGGTTCACAGAACAGGTGATGAATCTCCTCCACTCCGGAAGCAGTATGATTACTTGTAGCCGTGAAGAAGCACGACAAGATGTCTGACATGTATCTCACTCCAGCATAAACCCAGAAGTATTGCGGGGCAAAGGTATCGGCCCCTAATTTTAATCAGCTGTTAGTTCGACCAGATTACCGGCTTGGAGAATGGAGATACAATTGCTTGTCGTAATCCTTTGCTTCAGCCAATCACGTGGTCGGTCGTGGGCAATCTTGAGGTGGCTGGCGGGTTTAGATAAAACAGAATGTGTGTTACCCATATTAATCAATCAAGGACCAGCATACTGATAAGTTGAGTCCGTGGCAAAATATACACATCTTAATTGTATCAGTTCGAAAATCAAATAGTTGTAAAACGTAAATTTGAGTTGTTGAGAGTAACGGTGCATTTCCGTCCTATCTGATACCATAGCTCTCGCGTTTTTAGACGGTGAAAAGTTGTTGAATTCAGTTTAATAAAATGTCTGAGAAAGGGACAGACCGAGAAATCAATAAACTCTTTTGAGGAATTCACTGCATGTGCTTCTGAACTCAGAAGATGAAAATGAAGCCTGAACTAAAAAATGCGGTCAAATGTTAACCACATCTGCTGCAACATCGATTGATGATGTCGATGGTCTTACCATCAGGTTCTTCTTTAAATTTTCTAGACGAGTGTGTGAAGGCAAATGCAGTTGGGCGCGCTTGAAGTCACTAAGTCTTCTGTCCTGTTCTTTCTTCACGATAAGGCATCGGACGTACAAGGTTTTTGAGACAGTGAGAAAACCACGCTTAACACTGGTATGCGATCGTCGATAATTTTGGCGTAAATTGTCTTGCAGTTTGTTCTGGATTCAGTAAATTGTTAATGGAAGCATAATGTGTAAATGAGGCTGAGAATCCCTTCTCTTTGGCTTTTTCGTTTTTTATCACAGATTGGTTTCACTTAAAGCAGAAAATCACCACTAAAATTTCAAAATATCCTCACGCTGCCAACATAACATGCTGAATCTTCCAGGTCGCACAACCTCTCGGATTACGGGCGGTAAAAGCTCGAGTCCTTAGTCCTGAGTGCGGTTGCACTTGTATGCACATGTCTTGATCATCTTAAACATAAAGTTAACCGGATCACCTTTTTTGTGGTATCGCTTGTACCCATCATTTTCAGTTTCTTTACCTACTACTTCCAAGTGAATGGGCATATTCCTTTGGAAGATCACAGATGTGAAAAATTATAACCGTAACCAATAACTGTTCAGCTGTAATAGCCTTAAGGTGCACAGCTCCCAAACCATCTGGAAAAAGCAGGAAGACTGAAATACTGCTAGGTTGCCCAAGCTTAGACGGGAACAATAGAGATTCTGAGGTTGAGTTCGAAACACGGACCTTCCGGCCAGTAATTTGGCTCCTTATTCACTGAGCTCTCCGGAGACCAGCGCAATTTATAAATGACAACAGTGTCACTGATCTAATACCTACCTTTAGGACAACGCGACCACTAGGGGTTTTAAAACAAACTACTTAAAGCGATCTTTGAGATCTCTGCATCAAAGCTTGGTGAAAATATCCTTAAAATGCCGAATTTAGTACGACGATGCACCGTCATTTTCTGATGTACTTCTGAGATTAAATTTGTATGAATATAAGGCTGGCAGTCACCGTTGAGACAAACCAAATACAAGACTGTCTAAATGGGACTCGAACCTGTCTATGTAACTGGTTTCAGGAAGAGCGCAAGCGGCCAACGTGTGAATATCACTGTCCTTTCACGTAACGCCGCAACCCATTTGTCCATGAGGGCTGCTTTAGACTGGTGATCTCTAATGGTATAGGTGTAACTTCTTAGGTGCCGTCTGGGACCGTCCGGCTCTACATTTCGCAGCCATCTACGCTGCAGTTAAAACTATTTAATGGTATCACATCTTTTTTCTCGTTTGTAGTTTTCCAAAAACGATCCAGCTCCGTCTCAAGCAAATAAGGTTAGCTGGAGGAGCTCCTTGAGAACAGAAGAAGCTGGATCAGAGTGCATCTGAACTGTTTCAAGTTCGAATGAGTAGATGAAGTACTGGCAGGTATCTCCTGAAGGTTTGATTGATCAAGTTCTGCAGTTCTAACGCAACGCAACGTAAACTACACGACAGTTACGTGACGATTGTCCTAATCTTTTGATAGGCTGGTTGGTCAGAATAAAATGCCCCGCCAACTATTGATTCAGAATGATTCAAAACATATCTTTAATAAGCCAACGATTTGGGTTAATGAGAGCCATATTTTTAGATCTTCTAGTTAATTAAAGTTGTTGTTTGGGAAGCTGACAGTGATGAATATTGCCACAAATATTCGTGCTTCCCTTTAACTGGCTGAGTTTCTGAAAATCAGCCCACTTTTTACTAGCTCGATATGTCCTGGTGCATCACAAAGTATTCACTGAGTCCTGAGTTCCTCAGGTCTAACCTCAAAAGTCATTCGTGGAAATTTTTGCTCATCATTCAAAAATGCCCTCCGCACTGCTTGTACAAATCAGTAGTTATTCCGGGTTTTCAGAAAAGGAAATCTATGTAAAAGAACGTTGTCCTTGAAACTCGTGCGCAACCTGAAGTTTACTCACTTGAATTTTGTATTACCAAGTAACACAGAATGAGGCGAAAACCCTACTGGTACGACTAAAACAGGTCCTATTATTCGCGGCGTGAGGAATGGAACAGAACAGACAGATTTTGAGCTAGTTTGATCCGATTACCTGCAGCAATCTCAGGTTTCCGTAAGCTCTACCTAGCTTATGCAACTACAAACGTAGCACTTCAGCGTCATCGGACCTTTTTGAAAGAGATTGAAGATTCAGAGGATTCGGTGGGTGTGTAGAAAGTCGTAGTGGAACGGAGCGTGTTGGAGATCGGGCGAGCAATACGGTGTGGTGGGCGAAGGGTTACAAAATACAATAACCTACTCAACCAATGCATCACGCCCTTTCTTTTCCCTGATTAATTTCCCTTTCACAAACCGCAATATAGGATTACACAAGTTTCTCGGGTCCCTGAAATGCACTGACAAAGAAACGAGAGATTATCATCACTAGAAGCGCGCTATTGCACACGGCGTCCGTCTTGTGACATCTTTTTTCATGTACGACCTTGAAAAAGTGCTCTTCCCTGCAAAACTGTTTATCAAAATGCGCAAAGTTCCCCTGAAAATTTGTTCTAAAGTAGTTTCTGATCTCAAAACTTTTGATTGACGCCGACAATGGGTCCTGATTATAGTTTATGAATCCCGAAAGATTGTCAGAGCACCCCAAGGGTATCTTTCCAGAGGAACTACGCTGTTCTGAAAGCTTGCAGTGCGAGTATATAATGTATGATAGTTAAACTAAGCATATATTACACAATCACTTGACTAATAACGCTAGCCAAAGGGATGAACTGCCACGGATACAGAGGCATAAAATTTGACATAAGTTGCATGACCGGTTCACAAATAAGTTTGTTCCCTTTCTTTAGAGACACTCCCAGATAGCTATTCTATTGTTTGCTATTGAGGACAATTTTGGTAGCTCAGGTTGTGTACATGGTTGTTCGTTTGTTCGCTAAGCTGGGCGATTGGACTGCTAATGTTTCATCACTAATCGATGCAACATAATCAGCGCGTTCTCAGATAGCCTAGTTGAGTGTACTGACGAGTCGATGGTTTTGCATTGAGTAGTACTGCGTGCCTCTTAATATAAGCGTGGCTAGCCGGGAATGACCTTGGTTCACGATTGGTTGTTCAGTCAGGCGGTTCCATTGTTATCATGTGACGTTTGAGGTTGACCTTCCCTGATCTGGTCGGTGCAGGAATAGCCTCGGTACTTGACTTCTTTTGGTTCCAGTCTGTGACGTTTGTTGATCTGACTGAAAACATGTATAATTACTCGTTACCCCCACTTCATTCGGTCACTGGCATCAGCACAATCTCCCTTGCTCGAAAATGGATGGTTGCATTTGGTGAAGCTAGACGATCGATTGAGACTGAATGAAGAAACGCAGCAGTATTGAGCACCACCTTTCCGACAATAGTATAATGTAGTACATATGTCCACTTACACCAGTATGTGGTATGTTGCATGTGGGTGCGTACTCACACCCAATAGACGAGGTTCACTTATTTGATTCGTCAAAACCTGGAGAGCCAACTAGATTTACCCTGACTCCGCGCCAACAAAATCAGTCAGAGACAACCAGGACATTAAAAAGGTACGTTGCGAGTGGTCTTTTACCGATATTTTAAGCGTTATTTAATATTCTACCTCAAGTAGCGATATCGACAATAACTGTCATCGAATCCACAAGGGTTGACGTTAACTTAATCCTGTAAACGTTGATGGGAACAGTCTCTACTCACTCGGAAACGCATTGAAAATGACTGAAAAGTCATCGTTCCAGAAAAGCACGGCAAACCACCGGCTTTTTTACCCAAGGTTTCTGATCAGTCCATTTCAAATGTCACTCCTTGAATTAGCTGCTCAAATTGTCTTCAAAGCTCAGCCCGTCGTAAAAGTGTGGTTTCAGTGATTTTGGGTTGCGAGCCAAAGGAAACCCTTTCAGACACTTCAACCATACTATGGTGTTACGATTTTACTCATTAAGTACTCAACCCGTGCTACCTAGAAATACAGGACACGCTTATTGGAATCTTCTATTCTGGATTCCCTCGCTATATGCCATGTGGCTGATCATATAAAACTATTTTCACGCTTTACATTTTCGAACAAAACTCCGGACCATGGTACAAGTATAGGATGATACTTTTCAAATGCTTTTATAGTCAGTCATTTCATCATTTAAAAAACGGAATAAATCGTTTGGCTGTAGCGCCCTTTAGGTCACCAAATGTCATACCAGCCTAAGGAGGCACGAGGGCTTAGGTACGGTCAGGTGGTTCAGGGCTAGACAGTAGCGGTCGAGATGCAGAGGTTAGGTTCGAACCGCAGGCCTTCCTGGCAGTAAGTTTGCGCCGTAACATCTCGACACGTAACCAGAGCTCACCGAGTATCTCCTTGTTGTTTTTTCAATCTGATATTCCAAGAACGTCATGAGGGATGACTGACAGAGTGTGCATAACCCGTTTATTTTGTTTAAAATTGATTACTGCCGCATCTGCATGCATATCCTTGGTAATGGAAGGCTAACAAGGAGTCGAAAATGTATATATTGATTATCCCCAGGAAGGACGAAATCGCTGGTGAGATGTCGACTTTGTGGCTGAAGAGTGCTTCTTTGGTTTTGGCCAGTACTCAGAAAGGACAGCGCTTTACCGTAAGACCTTGTATTCAAAGACCACACGTCTGATAAGGGTCACAAAGACCTCTCTATGAAACTAACACCCTACATAGACCACGATATCATAACAGGCGTCTTGTAGGTCAAACTAATCATGCTTTCAGGTTAATCTAGACGTGTGGTGAGTCCGGTAGGCTATTTGATAATGTTTCATTTCAGTCTATGGCCTTAAAATGTGCTTCTTACTTACTTTTCCCTTCTGTTCCTGAAATGGCAGTCCGGTATTACATATACGCAACATGCATGAGCCGAACTTGAATCGTCGAGGATACTCACATAATTTAAACCTAAGAAAGGCTACATCAAAATGAAGTGGTATTTTTTCGGCTGATTCGTTCAAAGGAAGAATTTAAGTCCATGTGTTTTTGCATTTGAGAAGACTTCCGCAAAAGACAGCAACTAGCTTTTGCGCAAAACGAATTCCGAACAAAATATTCACTGATAACTGATGGCGTTTCAAATGAATCGGAATACGGAACGTTTTGAACGTGACAGCTATCACGTAAACGGGGTTTTGTGAGACCAACGAATAATAG